GTACTCGGCTCTTAAAAAAGAGAATCCATTACAGCAGAACGACTCTGAAATCCTCAGACAATTCCACATAAATCGCTTGCATTACCAGCTTCTTGGCGATTGTGTCCACGTAAAACACCCTGCTTCAGCATTGTTAGATGTTAACTGTGGGAGACACAATTCCACCATCAAGTAAATCTTGAGGATGTTGGAGTTATGGTAAGATGTGCTAATAGTCTTTCTGACATAACACTCTTTCCCCCAGTGGTTATCTTTATATCTGATTCCCACTGATTCATATGAACATTTATCTGTGCTGATGGCTGTAAGTTTTCTGAGTATTTTTGTTTGTTTTCTACATTTATTTTTACAGCTGTCTGCCAGATGAGTGCTGTCAGGACTGAATTGCATCTTGGATGGCTGTGTCTTAGATTTCTATAGGGCAAAAGAAGAATACTCATTCTATTACAGCAAAAACAAATGTTTCTTCCCTCGGAATCTGATAAGAATAAGAATAATAATAGATCCACAAAACCAGTCTGATACCGAATCTTACGTATTTTCTAAGTAGTTCTAAACTTATCTGGAAAGTTCAATTCCATTTTCAAAAAATGTGGTAGGCAAATTTAGTATCAGAGAGTTATATTAGTTGAGAGTTTCACATATTAAATTTCCTCGAGCTAACAAAGTTACGGCCATACTTGAAAATGTAAAAGTTGTTAAAACAAAATCTTGGACAGGCCCATTGTTTATTTAATTATGCTGTGGCTAGGAAACTTTAGAAAACCGATTTGCTAAGTGATGTATTACATAAATTTTCCGACTTACACATTCTGTTTTCAGCTCTGCATTTAAAACATGCAATAAATGCTCATTATCTTTTGAACCATCTTCCAAAAAAATGATCTTACTGGGATATAACTAAGTAATTAAATTTGATACATATCCACACTGATTAATTAACCTTAACACTTTCCAGAACAGTCAAGTCGACGTTAGACTTGGCGGGACAAACAGCATTTTGCAAGAATTATTAACACTAAACTCGCGTCAATAAAGAATGTCATTAGCAGCATTTCAAATTTGCGAACATCACCTACCAAACCTCAAATCAAATTAGCATATTTTTCATTTATTTTTTATTAGCTGTTAACATTAGACAGAATTTCCTGTCAAAGTCAGGATCCGCTGACATTTCTCCCCGACTGAGCTTATAGGAAACATATGCTGTTAATTCTCTCTCTCTAGTGGGGCTTTGCAATGCCATTCTAAAATTCTTTGCCTAAAGTATATTCTACTGCCATCACCAGTATTATTCTCAAGTAAACATTTCACTCTTGTAAAAGGCCACGATGAACTAACTCAACTCATTTATTAAGATCCTAGTGAATAAGAGACCGTTCTTCTATAATTTCCAGGGACTGTGTCATCACTAAAAATAAAATCAGAGATAAGAAATCCATCTGGTTATAGAAGCCAGCAAAGCTGTGACGTCCATGTAGTCAGACCAGGTCCTATTCCTGCCTTGGTTAATGCCTTCCTGCGTCTGAAAATTAGAAAGTCTTTAAATCCAGGGTTTTTCAGAAATCTCTTTAAAATACTCAGAAAGAACCGTACGTTCTGGCCTCACCCACAACATAAAATAGGCAAGGAAGAAAATATTTCTTTTAAAAATATTTAATAAGCTCAGTGGCGTTGCTGGCTTCTTCTAGCTATACTGAAAAAGTTCTATCTGGAGATGGGCTGCGAGTTGGATGAGACGTAAAATCGTTCTCAAACATCGGTTGGGCTGAGCCTATCTAGCTGAGTTTCACGGCAATGACAAACTCTTTGTCTCAGATCCGTGTGAGTCAGGTGTTCGGAACAACAACCAGAGCAAAAATTATCACCCACAGAAAGAAGAATAAGAGAGAGTTGATATTTTGGATTTTTAAAAACAGGCGTGAATCATCAGTACGTAGCTTAAGGCTAAATTCCACGGATGCAAACAGATGTACTTAAGCACTAGATATTTTAAATATCTACAAAGTTCATGAACAGTAAAATTCTATGATGTCAAGGTGAAAAGACTCTGAAATTAAAATGTTGTTTTAAAAAAAGTAGAGCTGAATTTCATTTCACTTAAAAACAAAACATTTTGTGCTTCTAAAACTCTACATAGGCAGAGTCTCCTGCCCCCGCGCCTGGCTGTCCTCGCTGGGGCCCCTTGGAGGGGAGCGGGTTGAGTTTTCCTCCCCGCCCCGACCAGGGCTCCGGCAGCTGAAGACCTCCAGAACCAGCCACCACCATGCTGAGAACACTCTCCGCACACATGAAGGTACCGGCAGGGGAACGAAGGCACGTGGGTCCCGGGGCTGAGATCTCCAAGCCTGCTTAGATCGGGGCTGAGCATCCTCCACCCAGATCCTCCAAATTCCAGTAGGCCGGGGTCACACCCACCAACTGACCCCCAGCGCCATGTAATCCCATCAACGGCCAAGACCCAGAGACCATAAAACCCATCTCCCGGAAGAAAACAATGCAGAGTCTCCTGCCCCCGTGCCTGGCTGTCCTCACCGGTGCCCCTTGGAGGGGGGCGGGTTGAGTTTCCCTCCCCACCCCAAGCAGAGCTCCGGCAGCCGAAGACCTCCAGAACCAGCCACCACCATGCTGAGACCACTCTCCACACGCATGAAGGTACCGGCAGAGGAACAAAGGCATGCGGGTCCCGGGGCTGAGATCTCCAAGCCTGCTCGGATCGGGGCTGAGCATCCTCCACCCAGATCCTCCAAATTCCAGTAGGCAGGGGTCACACCCACCAACTGACCCCCAGCGCTGTGTAATCCCATCAACGGCCAAGACTCAGAGACTATAAAACCCAGCTCCCAATGACATCTTATTATGACATCTTATTATCTCACTCCTACTTTGGACAAACTGGCAGGCTACCGAATGTAGCCTGCCCACACGGCAGAGTCTGGCAAACTCCCCGTGGTGTACCCAATATGCCAAATACCAGTAACAATGAAGGGTCTCATTCTCCTAACTCTGAAAGAGCCTTGAACATGGCACTTTTTAAAAAATCTCAGGGCTAGGACGAAGGAGACGTTACTGGGGCCTGCTCGAGGCAATTGACGAATAACAGAATGGTCGTGATCGTGATCGTGAAACTCTATATATAAATTCAGCAAATGATACAAGTTGAACCTTTAGAAGCTGGGACTGACAATGAAGACTGAATAATCCAAAGAACACAGAGAATCCATGATAATAACCCCACCACTCCTCACTAAGCTTCTTAAGAAATAAAAATTTCTAAAGCTAGGATTTGGTGATATTCCTTCCTTTGCAAGAATCATATAAATTTAATGGCACAGTCTGAATGTTATAAATGAAATTTGGCAGAAAAAAAATCATCCCATCAAAGCCCTGTCAGTCTCTTCCCCTCCCCACACCCAGCTTTCTTCCTCTACGCTGTGAACGAAAGATTATTTATTTATGGCTTTATAAAAGTCCTGGACTGCGGAAGGGAAAAGAAAATCTGTCCCCTCAAAAGACCACACAGTCATTGCCTTCAAAGAGAACAAGGTCCAACTTTCCTTAGAAAGCAACCCAAGTAAAACCCCAAACAAAACAATATGATCATACCAAAGAGTTTGTACAATAACATGAGATGCACGTGTACATGCCTGGCCCCCTCTCAGAAACACCGTCACATGCCTTACCTCCTCTAGGATAATGTCTGACCTTCTCTAAATGCAACCATGAGAATTACTGGGAGGTATAATAAGAAACAGTTCCTAATACAGGGACAGACGTAGCTGCCGAGGTGGGCAGGACTGCATTCAACACAAAGCCCGTGAGGACAATCTTTCCTCGGAAAGGCAGAATATTCACTGGCTCCTACGTTCCCGTCTTCAATAAAACAAGCATCCCAACACCATGCGTCTCTGTAAGTGGGCCGAGAACATTCTCAGCACTGATGTCACACAGGTGCTCCTCCAAGGAAGCATTCAGAGAAAGACTCCTGGGGTGGGCCTTGTTGGTCTGCTGGTCGTGAAACAGATTCTGTGACTGCTCCTTTCTGGGGGAGCACGGGAGAGATGGAACGAGCTTTTCTGGGAATCTTTTCTTTCTGTCCAAGAACCCTCATTTCTTGTTCGTCTTCCTTACAGTTTCAGCCAGAGAAATTGTATCTTAGAAAATACGTATTTTCCTTGATATATATATATCTCTCACATATATATCTCATATATATATGCATATATATATGCATATATCATACATTCTTTCCTGGAATCCCCAAGCCACCGGCGACACCCCCACCCCCTGCCAAAGTGTGGCCTTGCTGCGTCCTGCCAAGCCCAGGGCCCAGCGCCTGGCCTGCCGAGAGCACGGAACTGAGCCCCAGGCAGGAGGAGAGGCGCAGACCTCTGATGGGCAGGTAGGGGCAGGGCCCTGCGATCCCCTCCTGGACGGAACCTGATTTCTGCCCCGTCCCTCCCCAGCAGGATGTTGCGCAATCACACGAGGAAACCCAGAAGGGACGGAAAGAAGAGCTGAGAACGCTTCTCCGACCGCACAACACGGAACAGGGCGGGTTGAGTCGCAACCAAGCTGTGGCGTCTCAGCAGGAGCGGAGCGGACGACCCCGGACGAGAGGCAGCTGGGAAGCCCCCCCAGAGGACTGCACTCCAGACGTCCCTGGCTCGGCTCCAGACTGAAGCTGAGACCTCACAGAAGGGCGGCCTGACGTGTCCCTTTCCTCGCTCAGCAGAGAGAAAGAAGTGGAAAGCGACGTTTGCCGTTTTCAACCCGTGCCAAGTGGCCTGGGATGCTCGTCCCGGAGCCGCAGCTCCAGAAAGGACCCAACGTGTGTCACCATACAAAGGTCAACCTGAGCCGAGCCGCACAGCCATCTCTGCCCTGAGGGCATCCGAGGAAGGGGCAGGTGGCAACCGCCTCCCCAAGCCCACCCCCACAACACAGGAGGCTCACGCCCGCAGCCCCACACCCACACCCCGCCCGCAGAGCACACTTACACGATCTCGTCGTTCTGGAACTCCAGCTCCCCACAGGAGTCCTCGAAGTCCTCGCCGCCGCCCCTGGCAGTGCCCTCGACGGTCTTGTAGGGCACGATGACGTTCCCGCGGGCACCCGACGTGCGCAGGACCTTCACCTCCATGACCCCGATGCTCTCGCTCACGTGCGTCACGGGCTCCTCGAAGGTGAAGATGCCGGCGTGGTCGTCGTCGAAGATGGTCACGGTGGCCGTGCAGGGGGAGCCCAGGCAGGCCAGCGCCGACACGTGGTTGGCCTCCAGGACGCTGTCCTCGGACGCCTCGGCCGAGACCTGGACGTTGCTCAGGTGCACCAGGAAGTTCTCATCCTCCTCGAAGATGTCGTCGTCGATGATGCCCACGCGGATTTCCTTCTGCGTCTCGCCGGGCTTGAAGACCACCGTGCCCTCCGTGAACTCGTAGTCCGAGCCCGCGTTGGCCGTGCCATCTTCCGTCCGGAAGTCCACAACCACCGTGCTGGTGAGGTCCCCGCCCCGGCGCACGATGGTGAGCGCCACGGTGCCGCAGTTCTCCAGGCACTGGTAGGTGCCCTGCTCGAAGCAGATTCTGCTGATCGGGTCGCCGTCGGTCATGTCGGTGTTGACCTCGTGCATGCTGACCGCCTTGCGTGCCTGGTCGGCCGCGTGCCGCTTGAGGATGTTGCCGGCCCCGGTCATCAGGCGCGTGGCCTGGATTCGGTAGAAGGCGCGGCTCTTCTGCTGCTGGCTCAGCACCTGGTAGTTGGCCAGCTCGATGAGCTGCTCGACCTCCTTCTCCGGGTGCTTCTGCTTGAGCTCCTTCAGGATCCTGGCCATCTCCCGCCGGGCCTCCTCGTCCTCCTGGTCCCGCTCGTCCACCTCCAGCACCAGCGCGCCGTCCAGGAAGTTGTCGACGTGCGAGTTGACCACCTTGCCATCCATCTCGATCTCCGTCTTGGACGACGGCCGGTCGCCCTCATGCTCGATGATCATGCCCCTCTGCTTGCCGGCCCGGTACCTCTTGTAGACATACTTGTAGAAGAGGAGCCGCCGGTCGGCCACCCAGGCGAACACCACGCAGATGGGAAAGAAGAAGAAGGTGAGCAGCCCCTCCCACACCTCCACGACGCCCGGGGAGATGACGGACAGGATGATGTAGAGCCAGGTGTAGGCGAAGATACTCCAGGCAGCCGTCACGAAGAACACGCGCAGGTGCTTGATCTTCCTGGTCTCGCCGTCGGGGACCACGTAGACGCACAGGGCGATGATGATGAACATGTTGAAGGCGGCACTGCCCACGATGGTGCTGGGGCCCAGGTCGCCCGCCGTGAAGTTGTGGCCGCACACCTCGATGACCGACAGCAGGATCTCGGGGGCGGACGAGCCCAGGGCCATGAGGGTCAGGTTGGACACCGTCTCATTCCAGATCCGCACGGTGGTCTTGGTGGTCTCCCCGTTGGGCTTCTTGATGGTGATCTCCTTCTCCTGTGAGGTGATGACCTCGATGGAGGACATGAAGCGGTCGGCGATGATGGAGACGCCGAGGAACATGTAGACCATGGCCACGAAGTACACGGTGGCGCGGGCGATCTTGTCCCCAAAGGAGGGGTCCTGCGGCTCCCAGACGGGCAGGATCACCCCCTTCTTACAGTAGTAGGAGCCTGTGCACTCGGCCGTGCTGTTGCCTTCCCCTTCCGCCTCGGGCTCGGCCCGGAGGTGCTCCACGTGCCAGAAGAGCAGCGTCACGAGGGTCAGCAGGTGGAGCCCGGCGGGCCAGGTGGGCCACAGGCTGAGCGGCAACATGGCTGCCCCCGAGCAGACCCCCGACGGTGCCGGCCTGCAGGAGAACCAGGGAGAGAGGAAGAAGGAGGACACCGTTAGGGCCGATGGAGGCGTGATCCAAGGCCGTGCTCCCGCCCTCACCCGCTCCGCACCGTCTCCTCCCCCACCTCTATGCTCGCCCCACCGTTCCGAGATCCCACCCTCTCGGCGGCTCCCCTCTGGCCCCAAGTTCACGACTCCCTGTCTCGGCGCGTGTATTTTCCATGTAAAATCCCCGTCTCCTCGGCCAGGGTGGCCACTGATTTGCTGGAAGCGAGAGTTTCTGAGGCCCTTTTCCTTGACCCACATTCATATCAGCCAGTGGTGTGCCGAAAATACGACATGAAGCCTGGGATCATTTCTCTGCACGTCGGCAAAGCAGATTTTTCATTTTGGGTTTGGGCAAGGGAAACCACCCTCAAGAAACTCCGTCACCGCCAGAAGCACCTTTTGGAGACCGTGCAGTGGCCACGGTGCTTGTCTCGCCAACCCAGTTCCATCTCTGGCACCGCTAAAAGTTGCCTGGTGTGTGGCTTCGAAGAGCCAGGGACTGTCTCTGAGCACCGATGGGTGTGGCCCAAAATTTAAAACACGACTGGTGTCTCTCCCCAAGGCAGACTGGGCATGGTTCAAACTCAGCCCCTGCCCTGCAGAGCACCTGATGCCCACGCGGCCTTGGAAACGTGGAGGAATCTCACCTCCCTCACGGGCGACCAGTATTTGTGCTTGAGGGAGAATCAGCTGTAGCAGTTTTAATTTGTTTTTCTTCGGGGGCCACTCCTGGGGGTGCTCAGAGGACCACGTAGGATGCCGGGGACCGAACCCAGGCTGGCTGCGTGGGAAGCAACAACTTCCCCGCTGTGCTATGGCTCTGGACCGTGACAGGAAGCAGGAAGGTGGGAGACATGTGGGAACACTGATTTGCTCTGGGGAGGCCCTTTCCCTGAGCCTTGACCAAGGGGTCCACGGAGCGGGGGCTGCCTTCCTGCCTTTCCTGGTCAGGCCCCTCTTGTTCAGGAATGCCCGTGGCCCCGTGCACCTGGGCTGCAGCACGGTGTCAGGAAGGCTGTCGCTCTTGGTGACCTCACTGCCCCAGAGACCCACAGACAGAGCTCAGACGGGGCCCAGGAGAGCAGCCGGGCCATGAGGCACTCATGGTTGCAGAAGCTGCGGTGGGCGCCTCCCTCCCAGGGGGCTCTATGCACCCAGGAGAGGCAGCACCCTCCGCTTCAATCGCCAAAGAGCTCCAGGTCCAGAAGAGGATGGACTGGTCTCCTGCCACCCACACTGGGCAGCTGGGCTGTGTCCAGGGACCCCAGACTCTGCTCAGGACCTGGACGTCCACCCTCTGAGCAGAGCACGGCATGAGTGAATGCCATCCCTGTGTGCCCTGGGACCAAGAGCAGGTGCTGGGGGAGGCCCCCAAGAGGGGCTGTCACTAGCTTCCTTCCGGCTCAGCCGAATCAGCACCAGGAGCCCGGATTCCTGGAGGACACCCTGTCCTTCCTTCCAAGTCACAGTTTCCTCTTAGCGCCTGAAAAGTGGGGAAAGGCCCTGGAGGAAGCAGGGGAGGGGAACAGGGGGGCTCTCTGTCTACACACCACACTGAGTCAGGATCCTGTGCCATGTCAGTAAACAGCCACTCAGTCTTCCCACGAAAGAAATGACTGGGGTGAGGGGCAGGGCTCAAAAATGCGCATCATTGCCTCTTCAGGGAAGTGTCTCTGGTGGAATTGAGAGATGTGGAAGCAGGGGATGGTGCCGCCAGCAGACCAACCTGTACCCACTGGGCAAGTGCATGAGCATCCTGTGGTGCCTTCAGGCTTCCTGATACCCCCAACTTGCTGCTGTGCCTTTGGTCAGACCCCAATAACTTGGGGCCAAGCTTACCAAGAAATTAAATGGCCAAAGTTAGGTACATGGGAGCCATCCCCACAAACCACTTCCAATTCAGCTATATAAGCTCATTTATTGGCCGTATTTCAGAGACCCATAGATAAATCTCGAAAGAGACCAAAAGACGCAGTTAGGGCCTATAGCGTGGAGGTAGGCGGGAACCTGTGACCGAGAATTCCAGGCCTGCTTGGATCGGGACTGGGCCCCCTCCCCCCAGTCCCCAATATTCCAGCAGCTTGGCAGTCACACTCACAAACTGCTCATCCCCCTGCCCCCGGCCCCATGCAATCTCATCAACAGCCAAGACCCAGGGACTATAAACCAAAGTTCCCGCAAGAGAGCGCCACCGAATGTCTTGACCCTGCGCCAGGCTGTCTTCACCGGGGCGCCTCGGAGTGGGGCGGGTTGAGTTTCCCTCCCTGCCCTAAGCAGAACCCAGCAGCCGAAAACCTCCAGAACCCAACCGCCGCCATGCTCAAAGCCACTCTCCACACGCTGGGATGAGCCTCACCCTAAATGGGATGAACCTCACCCGGCCGGAAAACCCAGATGTGTGGGACTCCGTGACGGATCTCCAAGCCTGCTCGAATAGGGACTGGACTCCTCCCCCCAGCTCCCCAGTTTTCCAGTAGCTTGGCAGCCACACCCACAAACTGCCCCCAGCGCCATGTAATCTCTTCAATGGCCAAGACCCAGAGACTATAAACTAAAGCTCTCAGAAGAGAACGACACAGTTTCCTGGACATTATATTCTATTCATAACAAGCAACACAAAACAAATCGTCTAGCACTGCCGTTTGGCAGGTTTGAGTGGTGGGGGGACTGGTGTTGAAATAAATTTGCTCAAGCAAATCGATGAACAACGGGAGGACAGCGACAGTGACAGAGAACCAAAGTAGAGGGACAGTATGGGGGAAATTGTCGCCACACAGGCAGGGGGAGGGTTGGAATGGGGGAGTGGGGGTGCGGAATACTGGGGATTTTGGTGGTGGAAAATGTGAACTGGTGAAGGGGTTGGTGTTTGATGACTGCATGATCAGAGCTCAAACATGAAAGCTTTGTAACTGTGTCTCATGGTGAATCAAAAAAAGAGAGAGAGAGAGAGAAATAATAATAAAATAAAATTAACATTCAGAATAGAATAAAAAAAAAAGGTAATGTGGAGTCCGTGCCCAATTCAATTAGCTTAATCAATGGCTGAATAAAGAGTAGTACTCCTACATTATATTTGAGAGAGCGAGAGAGAGATCTCGGAGAAGCACCTGCCCCTCACAGAGGTATCTCCCTTATGGAAACAACTCCCTCAGGAAAAACCTCATGGAAGAATCTTTCCTGGAAAGCATGTCCTCCTCAAAGAAGGATCTCTCCTCAAGGAAGGATCTCTCCTCAAGGAGGTATCCCTATTATGGAAGCACCTGGGGAAAGCACCCTCCCTCTCCTCAAGGAAGGATTTTCCTCAGAAAGTATCTCCCTCAGGGAAGTTTCTCTTTCAGAAAATTATCTCCTTCAGGGAAGCATCTCCTCTTCATGGAAGCATATTTCCCTGGAAAAATTTCCTCTTCAAGGAAGCATATTCATCATAGAGATCTCTTTCTCATGGAAGCTTCTCCCTCAGGGAATTATCTCTCTGGAGGGGGGGAGGGGAATCCATCTCCTGGAAACAACTTCCTCACGGAAGCATCTGCTTCAGGAAAAGATCTCCCTCATGGAAGCATCTCCTCAAGAAAGCATCTCCCTCAGGCAAGTACTCCCTCAGGAAGTGCTTCCTCCTCAAGGTAGCATCTCCTCCTCAGTGAAGCGTCACCCTCAGGGAAGGATCTTTCTCAGAGAAGCATTTCTCCTCAGGAAGCATCTCCTTTCCTTTCAGTGTGGTGAAGGCCATGCAGGCAAACACCACTCCCGAACCACCTCCTTTAAACGCCCAGAGGAAAAGCCCGTGGACCACTGACACTGTGTCCTGACACGCGGGGAGAGGAAGAGACTCTGGCAGTCGTGAGGAAACCGGGGGGGGGGGGGGGGGGGGGGGGGGAAGCAGCTCGCCTCTCGACTCTGAGCCAGGTGCCAGGACAGTCCTGGCGCCGAGGGTGTGGGAGTGACCCCAGTGCCCACGCCTGTTCCCGCGGGCGGCCCTGCCCTCGCGGACTGTCCCGGAGCTCTGGCCACTCTCATCGCTCAAACGAGGAACAGAAAGCGCTTATCCCGTAAGCGGGCCGAGTCCCGGGACGGACGGACAGACGGGGGTCCGTCAGGGATTTCATGCTGCTGGCCAGGGAGGGGATGGCTGTCTGTCCCATGCGGCCTCGCTCCCGGGAGCCCCCGCTGGGCCAACCGTGGGCCGCTCGAGCTCACAAGAACCCGTCCTGGGGGCCCCTCCTGCATACACTCACGCCTGCACTCACATGCACACTCACACACACACACTTACACATACCTCACATGCACTCGCACACTCACATGCACTCACACCTGAGCACGCTCACACACTCACACACATTCACACTCACACACATTCACACTCACACACATTCCACATACTCACACACATACACACTGACACATACATACCATACTCACACATACCTCACACACACATACACTCACATGCACTCATACCTACACACTCTTACACACATATACACTCACACGTGCTCACACCTACAGTCACACACTCACACACACCTGCACACACTCACGCATGCACACACACACTCACACACATACACACCCACATGCACTCACATCTACACAAACTCACATATACACATATACACACATACACACATACTCACATGCACTCACACCTACACGTACACATACACACTCATATGCACTACACACTCGCACACATACACTCACACGTACTCACACCTACAATCATACTCACACTCACACACCTGCACACACACTCACACATGCACACACTCGCACACACATATACACTCATATGCACTCACATCTACACAAACTCCCACCTACACACTCACACACACTCACATGCACTCACGCCTACACGCACACCTACACACTCACATGTACTCGCACCTACAGTCCTACTCACACACTCACACACCTGCACACACTCATGCATGCACACATTTGCACACACATACACACTCATAT